GGATCTTATTATACTAGTAAAATATTAAACTACGGGCTAAAGGTTTGGCACACGAGGTATTTGAAGTTCCTGTACATTTCCAGTTCCTCTACAGGGCCCTTTAGAAATGATTACCTTTACCTTCAGGTAACCATTTAGATAGGAAAGGGATGGAGGTGGATGCTTAATGGTATGGGGTTTCTTTTAAGGGAGGATTCTGAGTGTGAAAACATGCTAAGATTAGATAATGAGTATGGACGCACAACCCTGTGAGCCATCGAACGGGGATGCGCTATGGCACCTGAGTATCTTAGCAGATATTGCTGAGAGAAAAAATATGTGTTGGATCAGAAGTTAAAAGGACTTTACAACTTACTTGATGAAAAAAGGTCTTGTCTACTGTATTTTCAATCTGCTTTGTATTTTTATGACTGCCCGGCCGCATTCTGATCTCTTCTTCATCTGCTCTGTTCTCTGGGAGCCGCTGATGCTGGTGCTGAAACAGCACAGGGTCGGTTCCAGGCGGAGGGTGGCAGTGGAGCAGCTTACCCTGCAGGGACACAGCGGCAACAGCAGTCAGGGGCTATCTGTCTCTACAACCGCCAAGAGAGGTTCCCCAGAGCTGTGGCCAACCAGGTAGGCAGTGTGCGGGGCAGCTTCCTAAAATGGGCCATCTTTCGTCCATGACAACACTGAGCCTCCAGCAGGCCCAGACCAGCCCTTGTCAGGTGTCCCTTAGCTGTCTCCTACACACACTGCCCATAGACGAGGAGACTCCTGCTTTGGGCCCAGCTGACTTATTTTTGGGGGATGGGTGGGCGGGCTATAGTACTCACTTAAACTGTTTAGAAAACAAAGCATCTGTTGTGTACAACTGTATGATTGAACTGCTTTGCTTATACGTTAAACATGAGGGTGGGGGCTTCTTCTCTATTTCTTTGGCACTAGCACCTGTGGCGCAAGGACCATAAGGCAGGCACTGTTATGACTCCCGATTTAACTGAGGACGAAAGCCCCAAACTTGGTGAGGTTCTTTTACAAAATGGGGATAGCGTCACAGACTTGTGTTTCTAATGGTAACATAGTAAGTGTGCAGAAGCACGCCTGGCATAGGAAGCTTTTGTTAAGTGGCAGGCACTACTGCTCCCACTACTACCTAAGCCTGGGAGAGAGGGGCTACAGGGAAGACTGTGACAATAGCCTAACAGATAGCAGACACCAGCAATGGGCTAGAGGGGAGGGTGCATGCAGATAGAACATCATCATTTTCATTAAGAGTGGGCGAGAGCTAGCACTTCACCTTTCAAGAAAAGTTTTAAGTCAGTCCCATAATTTATACCACGCCACCTCGCTGGGGTCTAGAACACAAACCCAGTCACCACAGGATCTCAAGAAAAGGCGTCCTCTGTGACTTAGGAAGTTATCGCTATCTGAGCAGAGAGCGTGAGCACCGCAGACCTGCTCATTCAAGAGCACCAGAGAGCAGACCCACTCACTCACACTGACGTAGTCCTTCAGGATGTACCGCGCCGAGCGGGGCTGGTCTGGCTGCCCGTGAGCTGTCATAAACCCCCGCATAGCTGTGAGGAGAAAATAAAATTGGCGAAACTGAAGTGAGAAGATGACAGCAAAGCCAACAAAAGAGATGACGGTCTGGTCCTTTCTGTTAACACTATGCATCTCTGTGAACACAATCTGTAGAACAGTCTTTGACCAGCAGCAGCAGCACTTGCCAGGCCAGACACACTCAGTTTCTGTTTACTCCCGTTGTTTCTGCAGTTCGTGGAGACCACACGCTTACTAAATCACAGACCTGGATCTTACTCAGTTTCCCAAAACTGCCTTTACTACTGCCTCACTCAAAAGGAGGAGGCAGGGCAGGGTGGTTATGGCTCCGGCAGACAGCTGAGGTTCAAAACACAGCTTTCTCACTTACTAGTTGTGTGCTGCATGGAAAGAAATTTAGGCAGATCAAAACCCAAAAGGTTAAAAATAAATAAGCTGTAGAAAAATAGGAGTATCCGCCTGAAATAGGGATTCAATTTCCAAATAAAACACCAAGCCTGGGGTAGGTGATCTTTAAGGCTCCTTCCAGTGGACGATCCTGACCGTGGCTGCCATACAGATGCTCACCCAGACACAGGCAACTCAGAAACCAGGGAAGGACACGGTGCGCTGGAGAAGCAGGGTAGTCGTGGGCGCCCTTTAGTGTTCAGCAAGGTTTATACGTGGTCAGAGGGCAGGGAAGCGTTGCGTCCTCATCCTAACCACACCCCACTGTCTCAATATCTGAGTGACTGTGCTCTAATGCTTCCCTGACAAACCCTTCTTCTCGACTTGGGAGAAGGCCACTTCAGAAACCTCCGCTCAGAGGCCTGGGTCTGCGTTTGGGCACCACCAGAGGGCGAACGCCCCACAGGTCTTTTCTTTAGAAGCCTGGGGCAGCTGCTGGCAAGCTCCATTTCTCTATGAGAGCATGTGCTGGGCATTGTCCCACATAGAACTCCCGACTCAAGGACACGTGGCTCCCCAAAGAATCTGATTTCTACCTTCAAGGATAAGAAAGAACAGGCCTAGTGAACAGGCACGGGGCACACTGCACCTGTAAAGGGGTCTGAGTACACTGACTCAAACAGCAGTTGGGACTACACCTCCCTGGCTGCTGGATCCGGAAACCACCACCAAATTAGCTACCTGGAGACCACTTTGTAAGCCAGGTTGGCAGAAACCACAAAGACGCACACCCTGGGAAACGACCGGAGACAAGCCAGACAAGCCGAGAATAGTGGTTTTCATAAACTGTAAAAGAAACCGTAACTCACAGCCATAAGCCGACAACAGCTCTTCTGAGGTTGGGGGTCGATGGGGATCTTCATCCTCTCTTGGCTTTATGATAGCAACTGCATAGGTGGCTTCGAACACACGTCTTGGGATATTCTGGCAAACGTGCACTCGTCAAGGAATCCATTCCCGTGAATTGACGGCCTCCTCCCATGGTGTCCCATGTTCAAGACCTGCACCTCACAAGTTTGTCTGTGACACACCCTCCTTACACAGGGACACCAAACCAGATGCACAAAACGCTGTGGCCCGAGGAGCTGGCTTGCCAGCCATCTACTTAGCCAGCAACCGCTTCCTGGAATCTCCCATTTTCTGCTAGCAACCAAGACACGCAGGACATAGCTGTTCTATACAGGCAACAGCTCAGAGGCCTTTCGGCTGCTCCCGAGGGAGCACGGTGAGGCTGGTTATTCCTCTAGACACTTAAGTCTCCAGAACCCACAGCTGCAGTTCTACTCTGTCCTATAGGGTCGCTATGAGCAATCAACCTGATGGCAGTTTTTAAATTTATTTTAATTTTTCCAGAAGCAGACGGACACATCTTTCTCCTCAGAGGGGCTGGTGGGCTCAAGCCACTGAGTTTTGGTTAGCAGTCAACTGCTTAACCTCTGTACCTCTTAGTCTTAACCAGGTTCTCTTTCAAGGCCCTAGCTTGGATGGTTCCTGTACATGAACTCACGATGCTGCGAGGAGACAGCGGAGGTCCTCACCGACCACTTGCTATGAGATCGCAGGGAGCTGACTTAATGCTTGGTGCCTTTGTTTCCTCAAGCCCAATACAAGAATGACAACACTACTTGCCTCCAAGAAGCCCTGGTGGCGTAGTGATTACGTGTTGGGCTGCTAACTACGAGGGCTTCAAAACCACCGGCCTCTCGGTGGGAGAAAGATGAGGCTTTCTTCTCCTGCGATGACTTACAGTCTCGGAAACCCACAGGGCAGTTCTACCCTGTGCTATAGGATTGCTGAGTCAGCATCAACGCAATGGCTCACAGGAGAGGTTGGGGAAGGCAGGCAGGAGGTGGGGAGATATCTGCCTCAAGAGTTATTTTGAGAATTAAATGCAGTCATCCCTCAGCATCTGTGGGGCACTCGTTCCAGTACTCCCCTCTGCATACCAAACCCCACTGACTCAAGTCCCTTCTATAGTAGGGAGCAGTATTTGGTATCATTCCCCCTTTATTAGAAAAGACCCTGGAAAGCTAAGCAAGTTTCTCCAGGTCACACAAGGAGTGGCACTGCCATGGCATCAAATAGGTAGGAACCGAAGGGCTGTGGACCCGAGCCCAGCTCTTCCAAGTACACCAGAATGGAAGCCCAAACCCTCAAGTCCAGTAATGATTCCGGCTTCTCCATTACTCTCAACAGCCGAGAGAGAATGCAGGCAAAGTAGTATGCCCAAATCAAACCTGCAGCCTTAGCACACACGTCCTGTCAGCCTTTGGGACTCAGAAAGGATATCAGTGCTATAGGTGGGACGTGATCTCTCATCTGGTCGATTGGCAGGATTCCATTGCAGATCATCTCAGCCTTGGTGGAGACAAAGGATGGCATCACCAGTCCAGGGCAGTCGCACAGGCAGAGGCTGGGCTCCACGTAGAGCGTCTGAAAGGCAGGACGGGGTCTGTGTGGGCACACAGCGATGAAGGGAAGGAGAGGGAAGGGCTGCTGCAGCAACACCCAGCAAGAACTAGCTGCTCAGGAACTGCCGAGGCTAATGCTGCACACATACCTGGAAGTGCTTGGTATGACCAGGGGTGGCGGACACTGACACCTTCTTGTTACCCATGATGGTGTTGATCGTCGAGCTCTTGCCCACGTTGGGGTACCCCACCTAGAAGAGACCCATCAGGTATGGAATCGCCAAACCGTACGTCTGTCAAATACCCAAAGATATGGAGTAAATCAATGGCAACAATCTTGGCTAAGCGCCTGGTTGCTTTGGAAGTAGAGGCAGACAGATATTTTAATAATCCGAACACACCACTGATTTTGACTTTTCATAACCTATAAGCAAGTTTCTGTCTTACTGGTTAAAAACTACTAAGGGCGCAATGACTGGAACAAGCTTCTAAGCTTTGCCATTAGGAGTCCTGGGGGTGCTATGGGTTAGGGGTTGGGCTACTAACCCTAAGGCCTGCAGTTCAAACCCACCTGCTGCTCCGAGGGAGAAAGATCAGGCTATTTGCTCCTGTAAAGCTGTTCAACCTTGGAGACGCTATTGGGTCTGAGATGGAATCAATTCGATGGCAGTGATTTGGGGTACACTTTCCCCTTAGTCTTTGGTTCAGATTGAGACAACAGTCACTCTTCCCCGGGCCCAGAGACCTCCTCTCCCAATGTTACCAATCAACCTGAAATTTCAAGCAGCCCATATATAGAAACAAAGGATATCAGATAAAATGAGAGCAAATTTATTTACTGCTATTTGCTCACGTCATGCCGCCCTTGTTCTATGCTTTTACACAGGCCTCTAAATCTAATTCCCTTACCCAATTCAAAGAATCCACCATTCTTGGGACTGGAAGATCATGGATACTTCATCCTTTGAATATCAAATCCCTGCCTATTTCAGAACTCACACGATGTAATTTCATCATTTGAGTCTGAACTCTCACAAATCTTCAGACTCCAGGCACACTCAAAATACCTGCTATTCAACAAATGTACAAATGTGCTTTACACAACGGATGCATGTATGGATTGTGTTAAGAGTTGTATGAGCCCCCGATAAAATGATTAAAAAAAAACCCTGCCATTATTTAAACACAACAGGAATTTTAACAACCCAGAGGCTTTGTTTAAATGAGAGCATTTCACCTGTTGGGAATGGCCTTCCTTTGACCTCCAGTCAGAAGCTCATGCTGTACTTCACAGTACAACCCCCTCCACAGAGATTTCAGACAACTCTCAACTCATTTTAATATTCTCAGCATAGTTTATGTTTTATCTTGGAAGAATGAGGGGGCTTCAAAGAGTTTTGGGAAAACAGAAAGTCTTCAGGAACTTTTTGAAGGTCCCAAGTATGACATGTACTCCCCTTAACTATGGGATCATGATTTCATTCTGTATCCTTAGTAGATTGTAGTAGATTGATGTTTGGGAAGATCCCATGGATTTACTGCCACCTGAACACTAAATATTCCTATAGGGTGCTGCACTGTCCCCACCCCTACCAACAGTTACCATATCTACAGTTACTTGTTCAACAGGCGTGCTTGTGGGCAGGGGGTTAAACGTTGGGCCACTAACCTCGAGGGTGGTGGTTCAGACCCACCAGCTATCCCATAAGAGAAAGATGCGGCTGTCTGCCCCTGTAAAGATTGAGTCTTGGCAAACTAGGGAGCAGTATTATTCTGGCCTGTGGGGTTACAATGAGACAGGTGGGTGAAGATGGGTGGCATGACGCCAACTGGTGTTACAGAGGTTAAAGTACTCAGCCGCAGGCAGGTTACACCTAACAGTTGTTCCCTGGGAGAAAGACGGAGCAGTCTGCTTTTGGCAGGGTCCCATGGGCTGGTTCTGCTGGTCCCAAAGGGCAACTGTAAGTCAGGAGTTGACCTGACAGTCATGAGTTGTTTGGTATACTTAGCATGTAACTTAAGAGCTGCAAGACGTTCACTTTGTCAGGATCTCCTTTTCCCCTATGTTTTACTTGCTTAGATAAAAATTTTTTTCATTTGCATTTCCTTGGGGCTTGGGGTACTTTGATAGTCATCTTTAGCATTAGAATACATGAAGCTATGAACATGATGATGGCGGCATATGTGCAAATGTGCTTGACACACTGGATGAATGTATGGATTGTGATAAGAGATGTAAGAGCCCCCAATAAAAGTATTTGATTAAAAAAAAAAGAATACACGTAGCTAGGGATGTGACTGCTTTCCCCGTTTCATACTTGGTGTTAATGCAATGAAAATGTCAGCATACAAAGAGTCATAGAACACGAAAACCCTACAGAAGAACAAGAGCAGGCCAGGGTGCTGGAGCCGGACTTGCATTACTGACAAACTGCCTGGGCTAAGAGAAGACAACCACGACTATAGGCCAAGGAAAGACGTCTAAACGTTCCCCGGGACTAATCTTCCTTGGTAATCTGCAGGGTGGCAACAGTTGAATTGGGGGAAGACTAGTGCAGATATTTAATAGAAATTATTTAATAGTTAAGAGCGGCCTACCAAAAATCAAAACCAAATTCACTGCCACCTCAGCAACCTAATAGGACAGGGTAGAACTGTCCCTGAGCATAGAAAGCCCCGTTTTTCTTCCAAGAGGCGGCTGGTGGTTTGAATTGCTGACTTTGCGCTAGGCCACCTTCAAGACTTGTGTAAGTCTGATCTTTTGGAAAAGCCCTTTGGCTGAGCTATTAATGTTACACTGCCTGCTCCCCATGAGGCTACTGGGCAATCAGAGAGCAATAATGCCCCATAGCAGGCCAGAAACCCAGGTGGTCTCGGGGTGTGGGGGGATGTCTAAATTGGGGAATGAAGCCCATGCTAGTTCAATGATTTTATGAACTACATTATCTTACCAGTCCAACAGTAAGCTGTCCATCTTTCACCTTCTTCCCAGTGTGTAACTGCTTAAAGATCTCCAGTAATTCCTGTTTTGATACCAGATGGCTAGAATTGCGTGCTTGCCTCTTCTGCGGGGCTTCCCTGTCTGGAGGGTCAGCATCGGCAGTACAGCTTTTCTTCCAGTTCCCGTCACCAGACTCTTCTTCAAGGTCGCTGTCATCTTCCGAACACGTCTGCCAATCTTCCTCCTCCTCCTCCTCCTCCTGACAGTCCTCATACTCGCTGTCGTCCTCGCTGCTGGAGGCGGTGTCACTAGGAGAGGGAAACGCCCTGCCGGGGATCCGCTCAGTCCGCGGGTCTGGAATCTCCGCCTCCGCCTGCTCCTCCCCATCCGAGTCCTCAAGCTCAGTTGTGCTGGTTCCTCCAGCAGCTCCATTCTCTTCCTCCTATTGAGGAAACGGAAACCACACAGTTCAGACACGAGTAGAGACTGTTCTTTTCACACTAGCTGAACCGCCAAGTGAGCTGATGCTGTGGGCCGGGTGGAGAGGGTGAGTACAGGGGGAGTCTTTCATGCAAGGATGCACACCCAACCATTACCACCAAGCCATCAGTGTCCTCTGGGGCTAAGGGGTGGACCAACTCTGCACGGCTCAGTCCTCTTTGAACACTGCAATACTTCCGCGATTTAAAAACAGATCTCTAAAGAAGAGGTGCATTCCAGGTTAACACGAATTCTTTGGCAGTCCATTATTTCTGGATGAGCTCCTGAATAAACAATGCACTTCTCACCAGTGCTCCAACACTCAACATTCGCCTCTCTGTCAAATCAGGAAGGGCTTCATTTGTCATCTGAGTAGATTATAATTGCATTTTGGAAGCTTACAGGAAAGTGCTACTCTTTGGTAATTGCCCTTATGAAAGAAGACTGACCGGAACACAGCCTCCTGTACCAAACTCAGGAGCAACAAAACTCAACCTCACACGTGGAAATTATTTACCAATTAATGATTCTCAAGGATGTCCTTATAAACAGGATTTTAAACTAGTTCATACTGGTTCAGTCATGGCTGTGAAATGGGAAGACGTGAATTTGTAGGCTGTCGGTGTACCATGAGAATACCTGTAACAGGTGAAAGTACCGTTGATGCCCTGGGAGACTTAAGTGGATGTAGGATCTCCTTCAGGAGCCGATGCAGAAGACTACTAGCAGCACTGAAGGAATGACACAGGCTAAGTGGCGTGGCTGGCTATCTTTGAGCTGGGCCCCACCGTTTCTAACTCTTGGTCAGGAGACTTGGCGGCTATGCCGCACACACACTGCCTTGTGGTCTCAAAGGAAAGAGATGCAATTCTTAGCAGGGTGTCTGCCCATTCATTTCCTGAGTTCTGGTTACTGTTCTGGTATGCCCACATTGTATAAATTCAGGTCCAATTTGGTTTTGCTTTGTCAGCCAGGAAGAACTGGTTCAAAGCCCAGCTTTAGAACAGTTACTTGAAAAGAGAAGGTTTAAAAATCATATATTATTCATGGAAACGAGAATTCTTCTGAATCACCAATGATTAGCAAGTGAATTGGTTGTTTATAGCTCAGTGTTAGAATGACTAATAGGAGGATACGATGAACACCAACATGTATCCTATATGGTAGGAAAGTAGAGAGAAAATTAAACAGGCATGATTTCATAATGCTGGCTGACAACTCAATAAAGAAACATGGCTTTATTCCAACAGAACCCTAACACAGGGACCAATTTTTGTGATAAATGAGCAATGAACATAGAATGGGGTTTTCTCTGCTGAATTCGATTTTAAAATAGTATAGAAAATAAAAACAAGAATGTGAACTGAACATGTGCATTAGAAAAACAAAGGCTTAGAAGCAGCCTGGGAAGTAAGGCTAATGACAACAAAAGGACTTTGCAATAATTATGTTAAAGATAAAAAGATGGAAAAAAAATCAATTATTTGGAGGAACACAAAGCAATTTATTAGATGGCCAAGGGAAAGCAGAGGCAGCCTACTCATTAGCAAAAAATCAAGGAAGGGTTGAACAAGTAACTGCCACAGAAAAACCAACCCCCCAGTGTGATACTAGAGTATTTAAAACACCATCAACTTCGATAGCCCGATGACAGATGGGATGGATGGGTGGATGGTGTTACAACCCAGCGGACCAGTTTTCCTTTAAAAAACCCTGGAGGCACAGACATGCAATGGAGTACTTACTACGCATCTCTAGAAACACTGATGATCACATGAAACCCGTCCTTTCGTGGGAAGAGTTGGAGGAAATATGTTAAGCAAAGTTAGCCAATCACAGAAGGACAAGTGCAAGGTGAGTCCCCTGAGGTCAGTATGAGCAGCACAGTAGATACAGAAGGAAAGCCACTTATCTCACACTATATGGGTTGAAATGCAGGCAGTCGAGTAGAGGTCCGACCAAACCCAAGGATATACATGTTATTCTAACACAAAGAAGGGGAAAGGGGGAAGGGGAGAGAGAGGATGGCAAGGGGGGAACAGGGCGCTAACTCACCCAGGGGGAGAGTACTGTTTATGTCTCCACATAACTAGGAGTGTGCATGCAGACTCCACCGCGGCACACCAAACCTTGCGGGCAATATAACCTCGTGGAGGAATGCATGAAAAGACTGGGCTCCAGGACTGGCCCCAATCGGAGTCAAACTGACCCCCTCCCTAGAAGCATGTGCTACAGAGGACAATACTAAACCTACAGGTTGAGGAGGTGCTGGCATGCTGCGACCACAAGCAAACCAAGGAAAAAGAGAATGGACCGGTCTAGATCCCATATTGGCACACCAAGTCTGAAAGACGACGGCCCTGCATGGAGCTGCTAAGGCACAGAGAGGACTGTCGGGCCGACAACAGCGCAAGGCATGCATCTGCTCACTGGAGCACCCCGAGACAGAGGACAACCCTGGGACACACGGCGGGGAGTGAGTCCAGTCTGAACCCCTTGCAGTGGGCAAACCAAGAAGGAAACATAACAGATCAGCAATGGGAGCAAAGTCAAGCCACAAAGACCCAGAGTCCCAAAAATAAGCCATCAGGCTAGGAGGGGCAGCTTCCAGACTTCCCCCAGGACCAGCGGGGAGACAGTCATAAAGGTCAAGCGGACAGACCTGGAATTATGTAGCTTTTTTCCCCTCCAAACTTTTACTTTCCTTTTGTTTGATCTCTGTTATTGTTGAATTGCTTACTTACATAAGACAGGCATGGGAAGGAAGCTCAAGGAGAAAGCAACGGGACAGACAGTCCCAGAGGGACTGGGGGGAGGAGGAAGTGGAGGTGGAGGAAGGGAGCAGTGAGTAAACAACACCACAGACGGGAACAACTAGGGAATTAAAATCAACAGCAAGGACATAGAGGTCCTGGGGGTGTTGGAGCAACAGCAGTCTAGCTGAGAGGAATTACTAAGAGGCAGAAGTAGGGTGAGCATGATGTGGGGCAGGAGGAAGATGAAAGGAAACAGGAAGGATCCAGGAAGCAAAGACACAGATAGAGGTATAAGCATTGTTGTGTGCATATGTTAATGCATTAATTTGTAACAATAGAGGTATCAGCCTATGCACATATATTTATATGGCAATACACTGAGGTAGTATGGACGGACTTCAGCCTCTGCTCAAGCTCTTCCTCAAGGCAAGAACACTTTGTTCTAACAACCTGGCATTTTGTGATGCTCACCCTCCCAGCACGATTGCTGAAGACAACATTGGTGCATAAGCAAATGTGGTAAAAGAAAGTGGATGGTGCCTGGCTATCAAAAGATATGGTATCTGGGGTCTTACAGGCTTGACCTTAAAACAAGCAGCCATCTAGCAGAGAAGCAATAAGCCCACATGGAAGAAGCACATCAGCCTGTGCGATCATGAATTGTCGCCGGGACCAGGTAACAGGTATTAGAAGACCACAAACAAAAAACAAAAAACTCCATATTGTTGAGAATGAGGTGGGCTGGAGCAGAGACCCAAGCCCATCTGGAGACAATGGGACTTCCTCTCACAGAGGGCTCACAGAGAAGGGATGAGTCAATCAAGGTGCAGTAAAGCACTGATGAAATACACAATACTCCTTTGGTTCCTTGAGGCTTCCTCACCTCCCACTATCATGACCCCAGGACTGCCTTTCCCTGCGGGCTAGACTGGAGCATGTACACAGGTATAGATAAGACATAAGCGCTCATGACACAGGGAATCCAGGAACAGGAATGGGAGTAGCGATACCAGAAGGTGTGGGGAAAGGTGGGGAGTAGAGGGGAGGAAGGGGGAACTGATTGTGATGACTGACATAACCGCACACTGGCCCCCGCAGGGGAACAACAGAAACTGTTGGGGAAGGATACAGCGGTCAGTGTAAGATATGAAAATAATTTATAATTTACCAAGGGGCCACGAGGGTAGGGGTAGAGGGAAGGGAAAAAGAGCTGACATGAAGGGCTCGATAGAAAATAAATGTCTAGAAAATGATGGCAACGTATGTACAAATTTGCCTACTACAACTGATGTGTGGATTGCAACAAGAGGTGTAAGAGCCAATGAAATTAAAAAAAAGAAGTAAAAGGTTTTTAAGTGATAATATGTTATGAGTTAGTGTTAAGTGGTAACACTGTGTCAAGGACTAAAAGTTAAGGGTTAGGGTTAAGTGTAAGTGTTAACTGATAACACCTGTGTTAAAAATTAAAAAAAACCCTGGAGGGCCAGCAAGTTCAAAAGCCTTTGTTTCCTCCTAGAGAGGCACAGTCGGTGCCTGACCTCCAACGAGGAAGGTGTCTTCCAGAAAGCATGTACTGTACTGCTAACCCAGGGCATGGCCATGCCAGTGATGACTTTGAGAGCGGAAGATATGGGGGTCTGTGGGAGAGAGAACTAAGGGGGGCACACACAGGACGAGCCAGGAACCAGGGAATGGCTGCATACAAGGAAGGGCAAAGATTAAGGTGACCAGATGTCCCGATTTTTAACAAATTTTCCCATATCCCGCGGCGTTTTTAAAAAGTCCCGGTTTTTGGAAAGAATGCATGACAAGCTAGGATATACGGTTTTCGGCTGCCATGTGGCTATTTCGCCAGGGTATGAGTTTTATCAGTGGTGTCCCGCTGTGCCAATGTTAACATCTGGTCACCTTAGCAAAGATGCACTCGTTACTGCCTCAAAGAGGAGAACCTGGACAGACCTGGCTTCCCCGATGGAAGAACACCCTAAACTTAGAGAGAAAAAAGGAGCCAGCGCTGCCGAAGCCCCATCATTTGAAGCAGTCAGAGAATCAGTAGGAGCGAGCACGAGGCAGCCAGGTGGCAGAAGGCATCCCCTCCCAGAGGGAGAGGGTAGAGCTCAGCCAACTGTGAGCATGGCCCAGCACACAGACTGCACGTTCCAGAGGAAAAGGACTGGAAGAAGACAGGAAAGAAATGTCTTCCAATAAGATCTTTTCCAGCTTGAAGAGACTATTATAAATTCCTTTTATAGTTATTTATCACTTTTCAAATTAAACCCCAAATGGGTTTTATAAAGTTCGATTAAAAATACAAGAAAACTTGGTATAATTTAGTTACTTCTTTTCAAAATCAAGCCCTAAGAGATGCTGATCTCGACAAGCTGCAGCCTTTGGGTCTTAGATGCAAATACAAGGCCACTGCGAAATTTCCTATACCGCTTCCTGTCAAAGATGGAAAAAATAACTACCACTCATGTCAGTGTTTAGCCCAGCACTGGGAGAGAAACCATCTGACTTTTCCACAGGCCGGCCTATCACAACATCAAAACGCCTCCCCACGTTTCCAAAAAAGACAACACAGCGCAAACACAGCACCCTCATCAGAAGCCCAACTCTCCTCCCGGAAACCCCGCCCACGTCCCCTGATCACCTGTGCGCCTCTGTTCCGCTGAACAGATTCGGCCAAAGCGGACCAGAAGATGACCTTCACGCCCTCCTTCTCGAAGTGCGCGGCCCAGGCCCGGCGCTGCTCTGCGCTCAGCAGGTCCGCCTTATTGATCAAAATCACATTCTCCTTATCACCGTTGAGCTCCTTCACGTAACGCTCCTGCGCAATGAGCAGAGACACTTAAGAGAATGCTCCTGCAACAGTTAGTGACAAAGGAAGCCAATATATTGAAGCACTTCAGGAACAACTACGTGTTTACTGCTCCCAGCTTTAAATCATTTCCCAATTCAAAGACTTGTAATTATGGTGTTTCATTAACCTCTGAAAGACAGGTCTGATAACATTAACAAAAGAAGATGCAATGTATAAAAAGAAATGCTTTCTTGCCCTGCAGAAGTATTACAACTCACAGCCACAGTCAATCCTGACTCACAGTGCTCCTACAGGACCAGGGAGAACTGCTCCTGTGGGTTTCCAAGACCCTAACTCTTTACTTTACGGGAGCAGAAAGCCCCATCTTTCTCCTGAGGGGCTGACCTCCGTTAGCAGGTCAGCACAAACACACTGTGCCACAGGGCTCCTGGCTGAAGTATAGCAGGCCCAATTTTCATGAAATACTGCCCTGCCTTTAATAATGCTGAATTGTTTCTTCCAGCCAAGATAAGGAGCTGCAGGTTAGTGATGACTGCTCTTCAGTCAAACCAGGACAGCCAACAATAACCTCACCTTTAGATGGTTCTGAAGCAGGAAAGGAACACTGGACCAGTGGTTCTCAACCTGTGGGTTGCGACCCCTTTGGGGGGTGGGGTTGGGTTGAAAGACCCTTTCACAGGGGTTGCCCAATTCATAACAGTAGCAAAATGACAGTTATGAAGTAGCAATGGTTGGGGTCACCACAACATGAGGAACTGTATTAAAGGGTCGTGGCATTAGGAAAGGTGAGAAACCACTGCCCTAGACTCAGCCACTGGGATTAATTCCCAATTACAGTTCTTTTAAGCAGAGGTTTAAAAGTTGCCTTCATTAGAGCTCACGATTAAAACTTGTGCTTCACCGGTGGCTCTGAAATCACCTATACCACCATCACTCTGGTCTTCCATCACGGTGTCTAAGAGGGGTGTTAACGCCAAGTGTGTATTACGTTATTCCCTGTGACCCTCACACCTTACCTATCCCTCCCCGTGGCTTGGTACAAACTCGGCTGACTGATACAACAGGGCCAGAAGCAGTATCTAAGGTGGGAGAAGAAAATGGGATGGCTCCCAAGCAAAGTGAATAGCAAGGGCTAAAATATGAAACATGCTATTTCAATTGATGAAAAAAGGGAGTGGCTGGCTAATGTCTACTAGCCAAATGGCTTCTGAACTAAAGCTAAAATGTTCAAGTCAGGGCTTGAGTCTGCCTTCAGATGAAAAAAAGCCGCTTGGGGAGAAAACACCTGTTTAGAGTGGCATTATGCAAGCTCCTGACCCTGGGAGGAGAGCAGGCTGAATGAAAGAAGGCAGGAGGACAGGGCAGACCACTGCCTACGGTACTGCTGTGGGCGAGCTTGTCCTTTCGCCTCTCAGCGCAAAGGACTTCAGCATGAATCTCGTTACACGTTACTTACCAAATCCTCACATCTAAACAGCAGTGGGTTTCGAGCGTCTACAATTTGGACCACAATATCACTGAAAAACAAATGAAAGAGTTTAAAACAACCCAAACCACCTGTGGAGGGCCCATCCCTGGACTTTCTGTAGTTAAAGTGAAAGTACTGAGCATCAGCCATGGGATGGTGGTGGCAAACACTTCCCCCGCGATAGCTTTCCAGGCACAATTACCCCGTGTTAGAAGAGGAAAGTGGGCTTGCCCAACAGCTGAGAACAGATAGATCTGTTCGTGCCGACCCGAGACCAGCTCTTCACCTAACAGTCTACTGCTCTCACATGGCCCCGGAAGACTCAGCTGGTGCTTCACCGCTGGGTCGTCTGTTAACTTCCCCTGGGCTGAGCAGAGTATTTCAAACACGTTGATCTAAAATGAGGAGCCCAGGTGGTATTGCAGTTACATACTGAGCTGCCAAGCACAAGGCCAGCAGTTTGAAACCACCAGCTTCTCCACAGGAGAAAGATGAGGCTTTCTACTTCCGTAAAGTTAGTCTGGGAAACCCACAGGGGCAGGTTTATCCTGTCCTATTGAGCTGCTGTGAGCCCGCCGCATGGCAGCGAGCTTGGTTCGGTGGCTCAGTGAGTTACAGACTGGACTGCTAACTGCACGATGAGCAGCTCGAATCCATCAGCTGCTCCTCGGGCAAAAGATGAGGCTTTCTACTCCTGCCAAGCTGTCGTCTTAGAAACCCCCAGAAGCAGTTCTACTCCGTCCCATGCGGCCCTGATGAGACAGAATAGCCTCATGGCAGTGAGGTTGGTTCAGTTTCTAATCTATACTCTTGTTGGCTCCTCCAAAGAAAATTTAATAAATTGTTTGCCAACACTTGCCACTATGGAAACCAGAATTTTACTTAAACGCAAGGCGGGCAAAGAAGAAAACACATACCTACCCAACAGCCACCATGGTTTTAATGATGTGTTTAAACAAGAAAACTATCAATGTAAACGGCCATACTTCAGTTGGAAAGACATGCTCACCTTCTTCCATCCAGTCAAAGATGCAGCAACAAAGCTGGCTGTGGCTGACGGAGCATCCCCTCAACCCCCGACAGATGTAGTAGGGACCCAGAAGCACGTCAGCATGGCAGGGGAATAAGGGCCGCCCTTCTCTGGAAGGACCCCCCTCACGCCCCCCCAGCTGTCATGTCATGTGGGCCAGCAGCAGACGACAAGGTAAGGAGTAAGATGCAGAAGTCCTAACAAGCAGAGGGCAGTGTTGTTCCCAAACCCACATTTGTTTAACCCTTCTTTGCTCTTGCAGAGGCGCGCTGGTGGGGTAGTGGCTATGCACTGGGCTACAAGGTCAGTAGTTCAAAACCACCATATACACCTTGGAAGAAAGGCGGGGCTGTCTACTCCTATACAAAATTATGGTCTCAGAAACTCACAGGGGTTGTTCCACCGGGTCCTATGGGCCGTTATATGGGCCGGAACCGCCTCGATGACAGTGATTTTGGAGTTTTGGTTTTGCTACGGTAGCATTCCAACTCCACAGAATACCAAGGAAATGCATTACATCAAGGTTACCATTTAGGCAAGGGTTTCTGACAATTAAGAATGCATTTTCTCTGTACAATAATGGCATCTTCAGCATAATCTTATAATCCAAAGGAGCTCACAGACTGGCCAATTTTCTGAAAGGACTCTAATTAAATGGGCCCGGGTGTTTCCTTTGTTGAGGAGATATGATGGCCACCATTTTCACACTGTAAAGCTTCAACAATAAATGCAAAGACAGAGAAAGCCGGATATGTCAAAGCCACAAGGTCCACACACTAAGCCGTCCTAGGAAACAGGCAGGGAGAAAGAACTTAGAGACGCCAGTGAGGAGAGCAGACCTTTCCGAACTGCCTGTCTCCCGTGCTGAATTAGGATGCAGTTGAGGTTCGACTACATGGCCGTGGCTGGATGGGGCCTTATTGCAGATCCAGTGCTTGGCCCTCCATGCTGTTAGAGGAGCGCATGGAGCATTTCACGGTATCCAATCAGTTCTGATAACTATGACTGAAGTCAGCGAAGCAGACGGCTCAGTCTGCTCCCACACAGGAGACATCTGCTCCAGAGAGGGCACCGACACGTGCTTCTGGGGAGAGGTGGCAGCAGTCACCTCTTTCATAATGCTTCTGTGGAACAGTCTCTCTGTCCCAGGCAACAGAAACAAATTCCTGGGGTTAGAAACATATTCTGGGAAAACTACAGAACACTTTTACAAGAAACCAAGGGTGACCTCAACAAATGGAAGAATACCCCAAGTTCGTGGATTGGATGACTCAATAAAGATGTCAGTTCTGCCCAAGGCACTATATAAATTTAATGCAATCCCGATACAATTACCCTCATCTTTCTCCAAAGAAATGGAAAAACTGATTACCAACTTCATATGGAGAGGGCTTGCTTTACCTGACTTTAGCACATATTATACAGCTACAGTGGCCAAACCACATGGTATTAGTATAATGACAGATACTCAGACCAATGGAAAAGAACTAAAAACCCAGAAATAAAATCATCAGCATACAGAAACATGTTCTTCCATAAAAGGAGGAAATAACACGGAACAGAAATAACTATGGGTAAATACTACAATCTCAAAGGAGCTCAGACTTCCAACAGGTATGAGGCGGCTTCAAAAAGTTTGTGGAAATATCCCACTACCCCCCAATTCCAGTTTTCCATGATCTGCAGCTCCCATGTACATGCTCCCTCTGATGAAACCAATGCCCACTGACGGGCATAAAACACACGCACAGGGTCTCCCTGTTAAACGGGCATGACTGCACTGAACACGGACTGAATGGCTCCTTCTCAAAACGCACCAACACGATGAAAGGAAAGGCAGGAACCCGGCAGGACAGAGAGCAAGCACGCCCCTCCTCATTCCGCAGTGAGGCAAACCTCGCCACCACTTTCCCAAGCAGTTCTGTAAGGTATCATCCTTAAATATGAACTGACAACCGGCATCACTAGACACGTGAGGAAGGCTTCTTACATAAAAGTCAGAAACCAAATAAACAGGAAAGAAAATAGTCCACAGAGGAGAAAGTACGGAGTAGTAGGAAATCTGAAACACCGCCTAAAACTAAAACCAGGTACCACACTGCCAGCAAGTCTGTTAGACTCCTACTGACCCTGCAGGACACAGCAAAACTGCCCCTTTGGGTGTCTGAGGTTGCAAAATCTGTACAGGAGCAGGCAGGCTCATTGTCCTCCAGAGAAATTTCGGAGCTCCTTACCACGTCTTTGGAAAAAAGGAGAGGCCCTCTCAGCAGAACACACCATCCGCTGCTGAAGAGACGGCTCGCTCTGCTCCACAGAAGTTCCTCCAAAGAACCAAGCTCGACCGGGGGAGCAGGGATGAAATGAAAGAGGAAGCCGACTCGGCAATAAAACCCACTCCCACGGAGTGATTCCAACTTAGAGCAGCCCTATGAGAAAAAGGAGAAACCGCTGTGGGTTTCTGAGACTGTAACTCTCCAGAGGAGTAGAAAGCCAAGTCTTTCTCCCCAAGAGCAGCTGGTGGTTTTGAACCACTGATCTTGTGGTTAGCATCCCAACATATAACCCAAAACCAAACTCATGCCACTGAGGCCATGCTGACACACAGCACCCCTATAAGCCAGGGTAGGGGTGCCCTTGTGAATTTCCAAGACTGTAACTCTTTACAGGAGTAGAAAGTCCCATCTTTCTCCCACAGAACGGCTGGTGGTTTAGAACTGTTGAACTTATAGTTAGCAGGCCAACGTGCAGCCATTACGCCACCAGGGCTTCATCAAAACTTCGTCCACCTTGAATTATCCAAAATCACTCTCTTCCTCTCAAAACCCAACAATAAACCAAACAAAACCCAAGTCATCCTTTGAGTTCTCCCCATTGGGACCGTGTTCTTTCCTCTGCTGACCCAGCATGCTGGCCTCTCCCCCATCAGAGGAACCACTCTCTGTCGGAGGGCAGGGACCGCCTCCACTCACCTGGGCACCTCTGTGCTGGCTCTGCTCAGAGGCGGCCCGAGCGGAAGGCCATAAAGGTCAGCCAAGCACAGCTTTCACAGGTAGGCACTACTTTTTCACACTGATTTCCCCACAGGGCCAGTGAGAACTCTATGTTCCTTTGGTGAGATAAGTATGTGAGCTTCAGAACTCATCTTACAGAAAATATTCCGTTCTCATATATTTCTTAATGCTTCTGTCCACTAACAAGCGGCCTACATTTAAAAAAGGAATTGTTGCAGGCTACTGAGTTGATTCTGACTCCTGGTGACCCTCAAGCCAAGCGGAGCTTCCCTAGGTGATTTCCGAGGCTCACAGTGATGGGAGTGCACTGCTGGATCTCTGAACTGCTGGCCTTTCGGCTGCCTGATCCCTGGGACGCCGGGGCGCCTACGAAATGTAGAGTAACATGCTTGCTTTTTATGAGAACACTTGGTGGCCTTTCACTCCACTCCAGTCCACTCCACCCTCCTCACACGTGGGCCTCAGAGCATGTATTAACATCCAAACCTCAATCAACCCCAAAGTCCTCTTCACATGGGACAGATAATGGCAACTTACCTTCTTTCAATGACCCTCCAGAGCTGGCGCCAGAAGTCTAGATTCCTTTCATATGGAGTCAGGATCAGCTTTAGCTCCTCTTCTAGCCTGGCTTTAGAATGGAAGTTTATATGACCTTTGCCAGATTATAAGAGAACGCTTCAAGCGAATTCACCACCCTTAAAACTCAGCACTGAGACAGTAACAGTGAAGTATTTTTGTATGCCTTCTGCGGAGCCAACATGCAAACCATTTTATTTCATAAGCTCCTACACCAAATGCAGATTTCCTCTCACAGGCATCACAGGAAAGCAGCGATAAGCTGCAGGCTGCCCAAGGGCTGGAGAAGGGGGTGAAAGGGGAAAGGCCATACATGAAGAGTAACCACTCACCACCTTTATATAGTGTGCACATGCCCCCACACCTATCTGCACTTACAAGCAGCTACCATTACCTTCTTAAAAAGAACATAGGCTCCATAATTACAGTGCAGTGAAATTTCTCAATCTGGCTCTTCTATCCACAATCCCTTCTGAGATGCAGCAAAAGTCTAGCCCCTCTGCCTGTGGTTATAATTCCATTTCTGAGGGAGTTATCTGTTATGCTAATGGACATGATTAAAGTGGGAAGAATTCCGAGTCTCCACCTTCCTCCAAATCCAAACTCATATCACTTACTGTGAGTCTACAGGACAGAGTAGAACTGCCCCATGTAGGTTTCTGAGACTATAAATCTTTAAGGGAGTAGAAAGCTTCACCTTTCTCCTACAGAGTAGCTGGTGGTTTCTAACTGCTGACCTTGCAGTTAACGGCGTAAGCCATCAATCACCCACTATACCACCAGGCTCCGTTGCCTTACTAGAGGATGTGGATGATCAAGCCACCACACCTCCCTCAAAGCCATGACTCTGCATGTAAGAGCCATCTCAGAAGCAGAGAGAACCTGCGACCATCAAGGAAGAAGACCTAACAGTGCCCGGGAGCCCTGTCTGAAGTGGCAGAACCTAAGACCAGAGGCTGTGCCCTGAGACAATGGGATGGGGTGGCAGAGGGCTTCCTGGCCCCCTGAGGAACCAAAGACCAAAGAGACTTGGCTGCTGGCTGAGGCATTCTTACGATTTACCAATGCTGAGCGTGGCAACCTGTCAATGTCCCCAATAACCCCATAATCGTGCTGTCTGTGAGCTCTATGTGGTCACTGCAACAAATTATGAAACTCAGCACAGAAGCAGAGGGGGAGGGACGGCTGGTGTCAGAATAGGCTAAGAAGATGGAGGGTGGAGGCATGTCTGACCCCTGCCTCGTGGAAACAGTCTTGGGCTGGTGTGGAGATGTCTTCTCCCGTGGGTAACCAGAGGAGAACAGATACGGTCCTCGGGACTGTTTACTGAACAATGCAGATGGCAATATGTAAACACGCCAAAATGCTCAAACTCAGTATTTCAAGGATTTACACTGCCATTTAGTCTAACACTCACCGGACAAGCTGACGTCTCCATTCTAGAAAGTTATCTTTCTCTGCCTGTTTGAGTTCTTCTGGACTAGTTTCTTTGTCCCAGTTTGGTCTGAAACAATCACAGAAGGAAAGGAAATTCACATACACATGTTACCAAAAAGCATGTACCCTGTGGCCTTGTTATATCTTACAATATTGCCAATTCTGTTCAGCTCACCTCCTTGGTATACACAAGAACTGCTTGTTTTCTTCATGAAGCTTCTTAATTCTTTGGCTCTCCTCAAAAGACAGCAGCCCAGTCCTAGTCTCAGGACGCACAAACTGAATGTTTAACTTCTCTGTGGAAAAGAAAGGTATCGGAAAAAGTGAAGAGCGGATACCAAGGGCTCACGTAGAAAGCGAATGTTTTGAGAATGATGATGGCAACAAATGTACAAATGTGCTTGACACAGTGGATGTAGTATGGATTGTGATGAGTTGAACGAGCCCCGTTTTTAAAAAAGGAAAAGAAAGGAATGAGCACCACGAGGTACAGACACTAGATGTCGGTCGTCGTGAGAGGCCTGAAGAGCTGAGTCTACACGGCCCTAGGACAGAAGCTACGTCTTCCTGACTCAGATTCTCGTAGGCTTGGGTGCACCATTATTGCCAAATGGGAATTTCTAACTCCTTGCTCTCCTGACCACTGAGTTTTACCAACTAAGCCCTTCCCGGGCTTTGGTTTCATTCACAGACGGTGAAAGCTGTGAGAACCGGCAACAGAGGGGGCAGGGGGGAGGGGCTGCCTTGCCATCCAGATCTTACACGCGTCCCACCGTTCACAAGGCACGGTCTTCACATTTTCCATTGCTCCCTGTAGTTTAAAGTTCAAGGGGGCTCCCAATAGTCCATCGGGAGGCCTGGTGGTGTAGACGTTGCTTGTTGGGCTGCTCTCGGCAAGGTCAGCGGTTGGAGAGCTGATGGCAGTGTTTTACTTCCTTTTTAGTTTTCCAACAGTTCAAGGTTAAAATTCCACTAGCTTTTCATTCCATTTTTGCACACTTTGACACTCACCTCGCCCCTCCAATTTGAGGACTTTGAGTGTTCTTTCTCTGACAGGTTTCTGCTCACAGAGGTTCCATCTTTTGCAGGTTTTACTGTATTATGGATTGGTCACATTTTTTCCCCAAATGCCAATGACACTATTGTGCAGCTTGATCTTTTCATGCGGTAACAGGTCTTGGAGACCCTCCACATTAGTACTCGGATTGACCTCATCCTTTTTAACTGTGCGTGTCTAGAACACAGTTCATTTAGTCACTGTTCCTCTTCTGAACACTTAGGTTGCTTCCAACTTTTCACTGCTAAACAGTGCGATGTATATGATTCTGAGAACCTGGTGTTCCTCCAGGCCAAGTGCAGCCCTTGACCCATCAGCAGCAGCATCAACCTCGTCATGGAACGTGTTAGAAATATATGAATGAGGCTCCACCCCAGAGTTTTGGAGTCAGAATCTCTGCAGGAGGGATTCAGCAGTCCATATGCTAACAAACTCTCCCCACAGCTCTGCTCACTCGAGTCTGAGCACCACTGCTCCAGGGTGACACTGAGACGAGACATGCAGATAGTGCCAAACCACAAGTTAAGAGTTTCAACCTCTCCTCTACTGGCTCTCACCCGAAAACCCATGAACTTGCTAATGGTAACCCGGAGCATCCCCTTGTATAAAGCCACTCAAACATACCTTCTTT